GAGTACCGAGCCCTGGGGAACTCCACTAGCTACCGGCATCCAACTGGACTCTGCCCCGCCGATCAGAACCCTCTGAGCCCTGCCATTCAGCCAGTTCCCAATCCACCTCACTGTCCACTCATCCAACCCATACTTCCTGAGCTTCCCTATGAGGGTGTTATGGGAAACAGTGTCAAAAGCCTTGCTGAAGTCAAGGTAGACAACATCCACTGCTCTCCCCTCATCTACCCAGCCGGTCATGCTCATCTTTGCAGTGCTTTGGACTGGATCTAAGGAAGAAATTCTTTCCAGTGAGGGGGGTGAAACCCTGGCAGGGGTTGCCCCGAGAGGGGGTGGAGGCCCCATCCCTGGGACCATTCCAGGCCAGGTTGGCCGGGGCTGTGAGCAACCTGATGTGGTTCAAGGTGTCCCTGCTCCTGCAGGGGGGTTGGGCTGGGTGACCTCTGGGGGTCCCTTCCCACCCAAAACATTCTATGGTTCTGTGATTCTATGAAAAGGTCAAATGATGTCATCAGGTAGCTTAAGTTCATTAAGTACAGCTCCTGCCTTGCAGAGCAGCGTTAATTAGGCAGCAGATGTGATGACGCTGTTCTGCAGCTGGCACGACACAACAAACATCGTGGCAAACGTGACAGGGGCGTAAGTGACATAGAGACACGGTTGGGCAGCGCTGGGTGGAATTCTACATTGACATGGGGCGCAGCGAGTGTGCCGGGTTCGGGCCAGCCCTCCCCTCCATTCAGCGTGACGGAAGGACCGGCCAAATTCGGGCAGCGCTCTCCTAGGGTTTTTCTCCGACGTTTTGGTCTGGCCGCTGGGGCCGGGAGCACAACATACGTTGCGGTGCCACTCATGGGGCTTTCACCTCCATCAGGAGGGTCGTGATGAAGACCCACAGGGTTAGGTCGTGATGGAGACCCATGATGAAGGTGCTGCCCGAGGGCCTTCTGGGGTTGGTGAGGTTGCCGGTGGGGGTGCTTTGGAAGAGGTACGAGAAGAGGGGCGAGCCGCTCTGTGCCAGGCGCAGGCTGCTCCTGCTGGGGTGAGCTCCGTGATGGCGGGAGGCATCCCGGCTCCCAGGGGGGGGTCTGCCAGGGGCTCTCCGGCTCCTCCTGGGGAAGCAGAGATCTACCAGCGACAAATGCAGCTAAGTCACCCATCTCTTCAAAGGCCTCACCCGCTCCCTTTGGCTGGGGCCACCCCTTGGTCCTTCGAGCTCTCTGCTTTTCTCCCTGTTCTCCATGTGTTTGAGGAAGGGTCTAAGGATGGTCTGGCCCCGCCGTGTTAACTGCGTGTCCAAGTGGCTTTCAATCTGCGTTGCATTTGTCTGCACCTATTTTCCTCTCTTGGGGGTGTCTGCAGCATTTTTGGCCATCCCACCCCCCCATTCAGCCAGACCGGCTCCCCTGTCCCCTTCCTTGGCCGCCTGAGTTGGAGGGATGCCTTGGCCAGAGTCTTCCAGCGCCACGTCCCTGTGTAGCCTCCAGACTGCCAGCGAGGATCTCCTTCTCCCGGGACAGAGAATCCAGATCCTCGCGGGTGCTTCGAGGCTTGCTCTTCCCTCCGGCAGCTCCTGGTGGCCAAATCCGGGCTGTGCCTCCATTGAGCTTCTGAAGAGCCGCTCCGGGAGACCCCAAGGTGCTACAGCCTTGCCCGGCGCCCCCTGCCCTCCCCAGGCTGGGCAGCTGCTGCCGTGGGTCCAGCATTAAGCTCATCGGGTTTGGCCGTCAGCCCGCGCGCGTTTCGTTATTTTCTGAGGAATTTAATTTACCGACTCAATTTAATCTGAAGATCTCCTGGATGCGGAGCTGTGCTGCGCTGCCAGCGTGGGCGCCGTCCCCTTTCTGCAGATTTCTTGGTATTGGTGTCCTCACGGCCGCCTTCCTTTTGTTGAGTCCCTGGCAGGGTTATTACACCAGTGCTCCCAATTAAAGCCAGGCATTGCAGCTCTCGTCTCGCTGCTGAGCCCGAGCGCCGCGCTGCTGACGCACGCCCCGCGTCCGCCCCGGCCCCCGCAGCCCCTTCGTCTGCCCCTGCTGGCGTTGCCCCTGGCGTAAAGCGGGGGCTCCCGACCCCCCTCGTACCCTTGCGGCTCATCCGAAGCCTGCGCGAGCTTCGCTTCCCTCCAGCCCCCCGTGGCCCGCTCCGGGGCTGAGCGGGGTCTCCCATCCCACGGGAGCCGATGCCCGGGAGCTGGGGGGGAAGGCTGGGTCAGCTGCTGGATCAGATGGGTGCTCAGTGCAGAAACGTTGCCCAACCGACATCGCTTTTTCGTGCAGGGTTTATCCCCCCCACGTACGCGTTCATACACCAACGTCTCCCCACCAAGACGCCTCAACCGAGACAACTGATAAACACTGAGGTGCCGACGCGCAGTGAGCTCATTGCTGACCTCACCGAGGCTCCCAGTGACGCGGGGTGCCCTGGGAAGTTCCTTACGGGGGCCAATTCCTCGAGAGCTGGCCCCAGGCGCGAGCGGTGGCCGTGACGGTGTCGCTGCTCGCGCCGTTCA